ACACATTTCTTACTGATGTATCAATAATTACTACACTAATCAATATGGGGTACAGAAATGGCTTACTGATCTATCAATAAGAAGATTTATAAAACAACATAACTTCTCAGAAAGCATCTAATATTCTTTTCTCACCTGAAAATCCTTTAAAAAACAAGAGTGCGTGTTTTCTGTTTCTTTTTCAATGTCAGAACCTTCTGTCAGGCTCTCAGAACCACTAAGTATCTTATCTTTCTTGGGTTTCACTTTGATTTTTCTTCGGGAGGTATCTTAAAAACAACAACAAAAAAAAACATTTTTCCACAAACAAAGAAATTTCTAAGATTAATGTTCTGCGTGTCATGAATTGTAACATCATAAGTATATGGAAGGAAAAACAGAACATGAGGGAGCATGATTAACAAAAATCATATTTACAGGCAGTGTAAATTGTTTTTAGATCACACAGTAAAAAAAAAACTCAATTATGAGGAATGTGAAATGTATTACATGTTCAAATATTATTAACCCTTTGAGTGCGTGATTAAATTTCGGGTGGGTTCTCAAAAAGTGTCAATTATCCAGTAATAAATGAAACTTAGAATTTGACTTTTTTAAGTACTTTTTCAATATCAAAATCCACTAGTTGTGCTTTAGCTCAGTGATGTACACACACACACACCCGGTACTAAGGTGGGAAATTCAAGTATGTGCAAGTATCCCAACTATCGCACAATGTGGAAAAGTTTTGTGTGACACTGTGGGGTAGATTCACTAGTTGTGCTTTAGCTCAGTGATGTACACACACACCCAGTACTAAGGTGGGAAATTCAAGTATGTGCAAGTATCCCAACTGTCGCACTATGTGGAAAAGTTTTGTGTGACACTGTGGGGTAAATCCACTTGTTGCACGAAATTCCTATAAATGTCAAGTCAGATAAACCCGATTGAAGCATCGAAAGGGCTAAAATCACATCACGCTCGAAGTGAATAAAACTTGAGTTTATTCTATTGTAATTATGATGCGTGTTTAACTTGTTCTTCTACAATTCTCGTTGATAGCCTGCAATATCAAAATGTTTCAACGACAATAACATATTTAGCTTTTCAAATGACAAGCCTGCCTTTATGTAGTAGAAACAGATCATTCACACTTGGAAGAGCAAATATTATTGAAAATATTTTTGTTAATAAAACAAGTTTAAATAAACCTTTTCCTCTTAATTATATTAAACAACACATGTACGTGTAGATGTCACTGGCACATGCAGGAAACACGTGGTTGGTGCAAGATGATTATAACTATTTTGTATATTAAATGCTCTGAAAAGATAATCCCAAAATATTCAAAATTTGGGGTTATAGTTTAACAATAACTTTAAGGAATACACTGAGTTAAAAGATATATTTAAAATTGTTCATAAAAAAAGCATTGCCAAAAATGTAATGGTAACTTCTTAAAAACATATTTACAGTGTTCTTTTCTACATACCAAGGGATCCTCCTTCCGAATCTCTCTCCACATCATTTTCATCCGTTTTCAGCTTTTTATTCTTTTTCTGGAGAGCACTGAGATTGGAGAGACGCTGTACATCTTTTTCTAACTCATCCACTGAAGATTCCGATGAATGTTGGTTTCGCTTAGTACTAGTAGATTTGCTATTTTTATCTGAATCGTCAGCAAAGGTAACATCATCTGGAAGTTTCTGTACAAGAACCTGAGGATTAAAACATAACTTATTATCTAAACCAAGCTGATCCTTCAATTTATCAATGTCTACTTCTTCAACTGGGTTGTTATTCTTACTGATTGAAGTCTGTTTTTGTTCATTATCTTCTTCAGAATCCTCACTACTATCTGAAAATTCAAGTTCTGTACTTTTTTCCCCCCCTTTATGATTCTCTGTCAGTTTCTTGACATCAGAGCTTTTTCTTCTTGATTTTGTTTTTGACTTTCTACGACGCTTAACTACATGTCTTGGTTCATCTAAATCATCGGAGACTTCTTTGTCGGACTCATCACTCAGAGACTCCATCCCTAAATCCAATAGCAGTGACCGTCTTGCTTTCTCATTATCTGATAAATCCTCTTCATTTTTAAGTTCTGTTCCTTCTTTTACTTGTGAACTTTCATTTGTTTTCTCTTGAATTTCATCAACAAGAAGGCTTGTACTATTCTCATCCTCATGAACATTATCCAAGCCTGTATCTTCTACATTTTCTACTTCTTCATCATGCTTATCATGGTTAAATGGTTTTTCAGTCACAGATTCCGCTCCTGAAACTTTGTCATTCTCAGAAGACTCAGTGTTTTCATGCTTTGAATTTAGAGAATCTGAAAATACTTCTTCATTCTTAGTAGTTTTATCTGTTTTTTCTGTATCCAGAGAAGAATTCATAATTTTATGTTTAAGTTGCATTACTGCTGATAAAATAGCTTTATCTACATCATCCTCATTTTTTGTTGCATCATTTTCATCCTTACTTGATGGTTCTTCAGAAGATGCTGTACACTCTTGTTGTTCTTTAATTGTTCCTTCTTCTGTGCTTTCAGTTCTGATAGATGATTCGTCAAGATCTAGATAATCATTGTTTTTGTCTCCAACTTTAACGGTCACAAAGTTTTTAGAAGTCCATTTACTCTTTAAAGAATCTCTCATTAGCATGGTATTTTCTTCTGAAACCTCACTTAAATCACTTTCTTGATCCTTTGAGTCATCACAAATATTGCCCTTACCCTCGGTAACTGTATCACAAATCTGTTCTTCCAAATCTGTTTCTTCTAATAAAGTTTGGTTGCATTCATCAAATACGTCATCCTTATCAAACAACAGAGTTGAGTCATTTTGGCCAACAGCATCTTCTTCAGGAACATTATCTTCATCCAGGTTTCCTTTCTCACATATACTTTTTTCTTCCATTTCTACATCACATGTTTTTTCTCCACTGTGTCTCTCATCTTCTTTAGAACCTTCTTGATCCAAGATTACATCAATGGTAGTGTTTCCTTTAACATCAGATGGATTTTTTTCTTCCATTTCCACATCACATGTTTTTTCTCCACTGCGTCTCTCACCAACATCTTCTTCAGCAACATCATCTTGATCCAAGTTTACATCAACGGTAGTGTTTCCTTTCATATCAAGTGTAGTGTTTTCTTCCACTTCCACATTACACGTTTTTTCTCCACTGTGTATCTCACCAGTATCTTCTTTAGCAACATCATCTTGATCCAAGGTTGCATCAGTGGTACTGTTTCCTTTTTCGTCGGGTGAAGTTATTTCTTCCACTTCCACGGTGGACCTTTTTTCTTCACTGGATCTTTCATCAGCATCTTCTTCAGAATCATCTCCATCCAAAGTTACATCATTGATAGTGTTTTCTTCCACTTCCACAGCATACGTTTTTTCTCCACTGCATTCCTCATCAGACTTGTAAGAATCCCCACAATTTTTTCTACTCTTCATACCACTGAGAAATTCTGAACCAGTAGGAGTGTCATCTGAATTCTGAATAACTTCATCACTTTTATTTGCTGGTAGAACATCATCTTCAACATCAACTTGAGAGCCATCATTTAAAATCTGAAATTCTTCTTTTAACCTATTTTCTCCCAAATCAAAAGAGTCAGTTTTGGCTGGACTGTTTACCCCAGTCTCAGAAGTCAAATTATCTTTTACATCTCTTTTTTTATCTTTTGGATGACTTTCTAATGATAGATTATCTTCATCAGGCGTACATTCTATTATTTCTATATCATTAAATGTCTCCTCTTCCTGCTCAAAAGTATTCACACTTGATTTACCACTTCGAGTAATGTCTCCATTAATCAGATGTGTTTTAGTTTTCTCAGTTAGCTGCAACTGGTTGTTTTGGTAGGCTTTGTAATGAGATTCAATGCTTTTTATCACAACTCCAACATTCTGGACATGAGTTTTGAAAACATTTATAAAGCGCCTCACACCAGACTGAAGAGAGTGAGGCTGTGTTGCTTTTCGCCTGTACTTTTCACGCACTTTCAGGATATTTTCCATGGTCATGTTAAGAGCAACAAGTCCTTGAGTGAAGTCCTCCTCCAGCCACGACTCCGAGTTTGTTGACGAGGTCTGCTCGCTCAATAGTTTCTTAGAAAACAGCTCTATTTCTCTGAAAACATCTTTACTTCGAACACTTGATTTCTTCGAAACTTTATCTTTTAAATCATTTGCATGTTGTTGAGCAAACTCCTGAACCATCATACAGAATGACACCAAACCAAACAAGGGTTCAGAATTACACACATAACACTGCCACCTTGTTGCTTCTGTTGCTTTTGTAAGTTCTCTTCTTCCAAAATTTCTCCGAATGCACTCCTTACAGAAGGCATTTTCACAGAAGTCACAAATTATGAGATTACCTCCTTCGGCACACCACCGACAATATTCATCCACTCCATTTTCATCCTTTTGAAACGTACCAGATCCATAGTACTTGAAGCATTTCTACAAGAAATATAATAACAGTACTTATTTTTTGTTTCGCACAAAAACTACTGTACTATTTATTGCACATAACATACAAATAGTTAACAAAAAATAAACTGAATTAACTTTTAAGCATTTCTATAGTAATAGCAGAAATAGAAATCGTAAGATTATATATCGTATTTGTACATGTAATTTGAAAGTATGTAATATCTATAATACCAAATTCATTACAACAATATTATTACCATTATTTTTTGTTCAGCAACATTACAATTTGACTGTGTAGATAATTCAAATAGGCACGAATAGCATGATTTATATTACCTATTGGAAAGTAATTTGTTTTTTGGAAAATATATTAATGTTTTCTATTTCTTTATGACAACATTCAAATGTTTTGGTTATTTCATATGCCTAATGAACCAATTTTTAAATAAGTTTTTCTTACAATGTACAGGTATAAAACTGTCAAAATTGAAAATTTACATTAAAATTAGTGTCTTTATTATGAATAAACAAGTCTAAGAATGGAAGTTAATGGGGTTACTTGATATTCTACTGTGAATTTAATATTAGGATGTCTACTGTTTAAAAAAACTATATGTTGAGCTTCTTTGAGGATAATAAAGATATTATCTACATATCTTCTTGGGCTTAAATTGAGAAGGGTCTTCTTCAAGCCAACATTTTTCATGGTGCAGGAACAAATTAGTGATAACTTAGATCCCACAGCAACACCCTCAACTTGATTATATTATCAAAAATAAGATTATATTATTTGGTGACACAATATGTGACACATTCTGAAATACATGTTTAAGAAATCTCACTTCATCATTATCGTTTTGATGCAAAAGTTAGGTTTGTAACTTTACGAGAGTAGAGAAAGACAGTCAAAACCAGCACAACATTCTCCGTTATTAAACATCACATGTGTTTGTAACTTTACGAGAGTAGAGAGAGACAGTCAAAACCAGCACAACATTCTCCGTTATTAAACATCACATTTTTACATCTTCAGAAAACTTTTGTTACTTACTGCAATGTAAACACGAAGCTACACATACTACATCTCTGAATTTACTAAGTCTATCTTCATGAAATTTGGCGAGCTTTTAGCAAGTATTATAAATCAGTTGTACATGAAAAATTAATCTTTTAATAAAATATTTTTACTACAGATTTGTATGTGAGCTAACAAAGCCTTTACTGAGTCAGTCCGAGTGAAAGGTGAAGTCTATACTGAGTCAGTCCGAGTGAAAGGTGAAGTCTATACTGAGTCAGTCCGAGTGAAAGGTGAAGTCTATACTGAGTCAGTCCAAGTGAAAGGTGAAGTCTATACTGAGTCAGTCCAAGTGAAAGGTGAAGTCCATACTGAGTCAGTCCGAGTGAAAGGTGAAGTCTATACTGAGCTAGTCCGAGTGAAAGGTGAAGTCTATACTGAGTCAGTCTGAGTGAAAGGTGAAGTCTATACTAAGCTAGTCTGAGTGAAAGGTGAAGTCTACACTGAGTCAGTCTGAGTGAAAGGTGAAGTCTATACTAAGCTAGTCCGAGTGAAAGGTGAAGTCTATACTGAGTCAGTCTGAGTGAAAGGTGAAGTCTATACTGAGTCAGTCTGAGTGAAAGGTGAAGTCTATACTGAGTCAGTCTGAGTGAAAGGTGATTTCCATGCTAATAAAGATACTACTTTCCATCTTACAGTTTTTATATTTCATATCCATAACCTCTTCAATGAAATGCAAAAGTTTTTTCCAGTAAAACTTTATATTTTATCTCTTAGTTTTTCTACCCTAAAACACTTAAGCAAAAGTTGAAAAATGTGAAATAAAATCACAAATACCTTTTTAATTTTCTAGAATGACTGCAGACTGTAACAAACAATAATAATTATTTATCTTAAGAGCTTTAGGTTTCTTAACTTTTCACAATAAAACTAAAGTTACCAAAATCTTACACAGTAAAACTAAAGTTACCAACATGTTACACAATAAAACTAAAGTTACCAACATCTTACACAATAAAACTAAAGTTACCAACATATTACACAATAAAACTAAAGTTACCAACACATTACACAATAAAACTAAAGTTACCACACTTTACATAATAAAACTAAAGTTACCAACACA